AGAGAGAGAGAGAGAGAGAAATATCCAACAAAATACAAAAAGGAAAATAACACACAAAACCGAGAAAGAGAGAAATGAAGAGCGCAAAAGAGAGAGATAGAGAGAGGAAAAAAAGAAAAAAGAAAAAAGGAAGTCAAACACGAAGGTTCCACACTTGTGTAAAAGCCTCATGAAAATTCAATTTGGCATCGGAGCGGGATAATGGAAAATGTAAAATGTTTTCAACTTTTCAAACAAGACCACCGCCGCTGGATCTCGTCCGAACCCTGCCAAAGTTCGCCCGCGTGGACACACACACGTACACAGACACGCACACACGTACACAGACACGCACACACAAACACCGAGGCAAATGCACACGTGCAGAGATACACATCCGACGGAATGCGTACATTTACGAAAATGGCGACACACATACACGCAATCATGTACATAAAAAAAAACGTTGATAAAAAGCAGACATAAACGCTAAACACACACGTACGTACATACACATAGACCTAGACAATAAAATCCAAACACCGAAACACACGCACGCACATACACGCACAAACAACAAAAAAACATGCAAAAAACAGACACAAACGCACACACTTACACACACACACACACACACACACACACACAACACACACACTCACACACACACACACACACACACACACACACACACACTCCAAGCCTTCTCGTCTTCACAACAGGTGTTCCCAATTTCCCTCCAAGAATTTTCCCGTTGAAGACCTGAGACCCCCTCCCCCCCCCTACCCTCTCCCCTCCTGGCAATCAGCGATCAGAGGAGAGAGAGGAGAGAGAGAGGAAAGAAGGAAAGAACAAAGAGAGAGAGAAGAAGGAAAAGAGAGAGAGAGAGAGAAGAAGAAAAGGAGAGAGAAGGAGAAGAGAGAAGAGAAGAAAGAGAAAGCGAGAAAGAGAAGGAAGAGATAGCGAGAGAGATAGATAGATAGATAGAGAGAGAGAGATCAAAAAGAAAAAAAAGAAAAAGAAAAATGAGATAGTGAGAGGGAGGACAAACCAGAGAAATATTACACACATCCATCCTAAGTGCTATATATATACCCAAGAGTAAAAAAAAAATAATAAAAAAAAAGACAAATAAATTGGGGGGGGGGGGGAGTGCTCCTCCTCCCGCACCCTCCCCACTCATACCCCAACCTCGCAGGGCCAAGTACCACTCCCCCTCCACCCCAATACCCCCCCCTCCTCACCCCCACCCCCCCTGAACGTCGCTTTCCGTGTAGGCATTCAGCGGCGTCCGAACCCCGAGAGAGTGTTCGTCCGACGCTGACTAAAAGCGCAAATATTGGCCGCTGGTGTTTCAGGGGGGGCGGTGGGCGGGGAGGGGGTAAGGGGTGGGGGGAAGAGAGGCGGAGAGGGAGGGGAGGGAGGGGAGGGTGGGGGAGGAGAGGGGTGAAGAGAGGGGAGAGGGAGGGGAGGAGAGAGGTGGAGAAAGGAGAGGGGTGGGGGGAAGAGAGGCGGGAGAGGGGAGGGGAGGAGAGGGGTGAAGAGAGGTGGGAGAGGGAGGGGAGGGAAAAAGGGGAGGGGGAGGAGACGCAAGAGAGGGGGTGAGGGGAAGAGGAGGGGATGGAGAAGGAGGATAGAAGGAGGGGTGAAGGAGGGGAGACAGCAAAGGGTGGTGGAGGGGGGGATTGGAAAGAGGGAAATGGAGGGAAGGAGAGGCGGGAAGGGGGGGGCGAGGCGAGGGGAGGAAAGAGGGGGGGGGGATGGCGGCACCTGATTCTGGGAGATGGACACTACAGGCGGTAGGGGAAAAGAGAGAGGAGAGAGAGAGAGAGAGAGAGAGAGAGAGAGAGAGAGAGAGAGAGAGAGAGAGAGAGAGAGAGAGAGAGAGAGAGAGAGATGAGGGGGGTTTTGAGAAACAAAATGGCGGAGCTATCAGGTTCATTTTTTACTTGGGAAAAAAGAAAGTAGAAGTGGGAAAAAGAGGATTGGCGAGAGAGAAAGATGTATAGATTGACGTAGACAGAATTGGGGTGATGGAAAGAGAGAGAGAGAGGGAGGGAGGGAGGGAGGGGAGGGAGGGAGGGAGGGAGGGAGAGGGAGGGAGGAGGGAGAGAGAGAGAGAGAGAGACAAGGTAGCGATAACGACAGATGTAAAGATAGACAGAAAAAAATAGACAAAAAACAGACAAACAGAAAAACAGATAGACACAGACAAAAAAATTCCCAGAGATAGAATTAGAGAGAGAAGAGAGAGAATTAATTAAACGCAAAGAGAAAAAAGGAAAAAAAACACGAGGCTAAAAATCCCGCAAGAGAACAGACAAAACCAAAAAGGATGTAACACGGGAGAGCAAGATGCAAGGTGCCACATCACAGCAGCCTCGCACACCCAGACAAAGAACATCCTCTCCTCTCGTCTGTCTCCTTCCTCTCTCTCCCTCTCCCTCTCTCCTCTCGCCCTGCGCTGTCCCTCGCGCGAAACAAGGCGCGTTGGCCCTCTCTCCTTCTCTTTCACTCAGGGTCTCTTTTCCTCACTCTCTCTCTCTCTCTTGCTTTTTTTTTTTTTCTCTGATTTCTCTCTCCTCTCTTTCTTTCTTTTGTTCTTTCTTTCTCTTCTTGTCTTTCTTCTCTCTCTCTCTCTCTCTGCCTGTCTTTCTTTCGTTTTTTCTCTTCTCTTCTCTTTTCTCTCTAT